CTCTACATACATTTTAACATGGAACATGCTCGAACTTGTGCCTCCTCCACAATGGGCAAGGTTACAAACCAGTTGATCCACCGGACCTGTTCTGTAAAAGTACTACACAACATTATATTTATTCATTTGGATTGACCCGGCGGTTTGAACGGTTGAACCGGTTAAACCGATTAAACCGGGAACCAGAGGTCAAAACGGTTTGACCTCCGGTTCGGTTTTTAAAACTTTGCATAAAATAAATAAAATTTTAAGCCACTTTTTTAAATCCCAGAGGTCGTGTCCCAGTGGCAAAGGTGATTGAGAATGCCCTGTAAGTCTTGTGTTCGAAGCATGCAGGTGATAACTTTATGGGAAATTTTCCAAAAGATTTAAACCGTTCGGTTGAATGGTTTAACGGTTTGTACCGGTTCGTACGGTTTTATCGGTTTTGAACGGTTCAACCACTTCACCGGTTTTAAACCTTAACTCGAGCCGTTTATTGTACCGTCACCGGTCCGACCGGTTCAACCGGCCGGTCCGGTCCGGTTTTTAAAACATTGCTCTCAACTTCGATAATCCCCACCACTACCCACCATCTCCAACTTTTTTCCATCTCCCTCTTGAAAACCTCCACTGTTTCTCTGCCTCTCCGATCACTGTCGTCTTACCCTTCGTTTTCTCCAGTCACCACTTTATCCACCGTTTCCTCTCTTTCATCATTCATCATCACCGCCTCACTTTTTGTTTCCTCCTATTATTCTAACCTCAAACAAACACTCACCTCATCCCCGATTCACCGAAATCCTTCAAAACCCAAGTGGGTTCTCATCAAGAGAACCAGATTTGGGTTCTTCGTGAGCTCTAATCTTGCTGAAAGAAGGAAAATGGAAACCCAAGTCCTTGAGCTCGTGAGATTCCATGGAGGTGCCTAAGGTTAGGGTTTTAAAGGGACCATAGTTGAGATTGATCAATGGGTTTAAGGTTTGGTGGATTCCCCCCTTCTTCCCCAATCCATCACTTCTCTCATCCCTCATTATTATTGTTGGATTTTCATTTTTGAGTGAAAATTTTTGGGTTTTTACTGGAGTTTCTTTGAGGAATCAACAAAGGAAAGGAAGAAGGGAGTTTGAGAGATTATTGGCCGGAGATCTGGGAGAATGTATTTCGAAAATTAGGCCCTAATCCTCCTTATTCTATTGGATCAGATTTGGGAGAATGAGAACCCAAAACGGGTTCTCACCATCCAACCAAAAAGAAAGAAAATAGAGAAGGATGGAGATGAAGGAGAGGAGGATAAGAAGGTAGCAAGAGGGTTAGGGGAAGGGAAGAAAGTCCAAGAAGAAGAACGGGAAAATCATTTTAATTTTTTCTAATTTTGTTTAAATTGAGTTTATTATTATTAAATTTGATTAAATAAAATTAAATAAAAGTTAATTGATTTTTCTTAAATTAAAAATTACTTATAATAAGTAGGGTTAATTAAATAGGTAAAATATATTAATTATTTTAATTTTTAAATATAAATAAAAAAAATTTAGAGTTAAATTAGTTTTTTTATTATTTAAAATTAAAATAAAAATTCACATAATTATCATTTATCTCATGAATTTTTCACTTAATATTAACTATTAAAAATATAAAATAGTCAATTATTTAACGAAAAAAAATTACCGACATTGTCACTTAACTAACAAAGGACGGAATTGGTATTGAAAATTAAAATTGAAAGATATTTCTAGTATTTTTTTGAAGTTTAAAGATGAATTTGATTCGAAAATGAAAGTTGAGGGACCAAATCAGGTATTTAACCATCGGGTTTTTTTCGTCTTTCTGTCCTCTTTCACTTTCAGTTTGTTTTTCTTGATTGATTTAATCTATTAAATGCTCTCCTTATCTATTGAAATTTTAATTCAAAGCCATAAGACTGAAGGCATACGTCATCGAAGAAGATGAGCATCGATCATGCTTAGAGAAGATCCAAGACCTTTTTTTCAGCCTTGCGTACAGAAGATCCCTTTTTACCCATCCATACGCTGTTCTTTAAACCTGCTGCGTTCTTTTTCCATGGCTCCCACACTTTAGAAAGCCAGGAATGAAGACAAAGCCCGCGTCCTTTCCTGTCCTGCGAAAAAGCAGCAACGGTCGGAGAAAAGCAAGTGGTCAATTATTTTGTCCCCTTACAAGCACCGGTGAGGATGAGAGATCATGAAATTCTAGGGTTTTGGGGAATTCTTCTATAAATAGTTTGTTATTAGGAGGTTTTAGGCAGAGAGAGGGGGCAACCAGATAGCGAAAAAAGGAAGGTGGCAGAAGAGAGAGAGATCGAAGAAGGCGAGTCCTGACAGTGTCTCTAGCGAGATTCCGGTACTTCTCTTCTTTCTTTTCCTGCTTTGGATCAAGTTATACACCCTATCCGAGAGCATAAGGGTGTTTCTAGCAGTTTGGTATCCGGACTGTCCCAAAATGGGGTACCCGGAAACCACTGACCCCAAGAAACAACCCTTATGTGATAAAATCTTCGAGTTGTCTGTGGTTGATGCTTGTTTTGAGTTCAGATCTGTATGATGCACATGTTGGTTTCAAACAAATGATATTGATCTGCATTATTATGTCTTAACTATCTTGTAATTATGATTGGAGTAGGAGATTATTATTATATGTAAATAGTTAATGTTATATTATTTTAATATAATTATTTCTTATATTTTATATTATTTTTTTAAGCTAAGATCTGTATGATGCACATGTTGGTTTCAAAC